TTTATGAGTGCATTTTCTCCTGTATTTTTGTTTCTGTTCTTATCCTTATGGTCATGTTAAATTGTTATCATTTCAAAATAGCTTTTTATGAATAAAAGATGATTCTTGTAAGTTCCCTGGTACATATAAAGCAAAAATCTAAAACAGACAGACCAAAAGTTATACATAAGAAATCGAAACCTATTTCATAAAAAGTTACTTATCAACAAAGGAACACCGGAAAGAAGCAAAAAAGGAACCACAATAAAAATAGAAAACAAGTTACAAAATGGCTGTAGTAACACATTACCTCTCAATAATTACCTCGAACGTAAGCTGATTAAATTCTCCAATTAAAAAGCACAAAGTGGGGACTGGGGTTGTGGTTCAGCACTAGAGCGCTCGCCTAGTATATGCGAGGCCTGGGGTCGGTCCTGAGCACCAGATAAAAACAAATAAATAAAATAAAGGTATTGTGTCCAGCTACAACTAAATATATATTTAAAAAGACACAGAGTGACTGGATGGATTAAAAAAAATCAAGACCAATACATAATCACTTACAAGAAACTCTCATAGCTCTGAGTAATTGCATGGACTAAAAGTGAAGGAATGGAACACAATACTCTATGCAAATGAAAGACAAAAGAAAGCAAGAATGGCCATAATGGTATGAGGTTCAAAAAAGACTTTACTGGACTTTTAAATCAAAAGCAGTAAAAAGAAAGAAGAAAGATCATTATATAAAGGGATCAATTCAGCACTAGGAAATAACAATTCTAAATATGCATATACCCAATATTGGAACACCCAAATATATAAACCAAGTGTTAATAAAGCTAAAGAGAAGCCAGGCACTGTGGTGCATGCCTGTAATCCAAGCTGCTCAGGAGGCTGAGGCAGGAGGATCAGAAGTTCAAAGACAGCCTCAGCAAAAGTGAGGCACCTCAGTGAGACCCTGTCTCTAAATAAAAAGTCTGGGGATGTGGCTCAGTGGTCAAGTGCCCCTGAGTTCAATCCCCAGTATACCTCCCCATCAAAAAAAAAAGCTAAAGGGAGAGAAAGACAGACACCAGTTCGGTAATAGTTGTAGACTTTTAACACCCCATTTTCAGCAATCCATACAGAAAACCAACAAAGAAACCACAGAATTAAACTGTACCCTACACCTAATAGACCTAATAGACATCTACCAAACGTTTTATTGAATGTTTTCTAAATATATATTTTTCTCATCAATACTTGGAACACTCTTCATGTTAGACTATATGATAGGCCACAAAATAAGTCTTAAAGGGCTGGGAGTGCAGCACAGTGGTAAAGTGCTTATCTAGCATGTCCAAAGCCCTCATTTCAGTCCCTACCACCTCAAAAGGAAAAAGAAAACCAAGTCTAAACAAAATTTTTAAACTGAAATCGTATTACCTTTTCTGATGACAATGCAATAAAACTAGAAATCAATAAAAAGAAAATTTGGGGAAACTATACAAATACATGGAAATTAAACAACTCAATTTTGAACAACCAACAAATCAAGAAGGAAATTAAAAATACTTCTAGAAACATTAAAATGGATGCACAACATATCAAAACCTATGGAATACAGCAAAAGCTGTAGTAAGAAGGAAGTTTATACAATCAATGCCTAAATAAAAGCAGAAAGATGTGCAATAAGGAAGCAAAAAGATTTAAATAATCTATTGCTGCATCTCAAGAAACTAGAAAAACAAGAACAAACCAAACCTAAAATTAGAAGAAGAGAAATTATAAATGTCACAGCAGAAATAAAAGAAACAAAAACATAAAAATACAAAAAAGATTTTCCAGGTGTGAAGCAGGATAGCAAGCTCAATGTCAACCTGTCTCAAAATAAAAATAAAAAGTGCTGGTGATGTAGCTCAGTGACAGAGCACCCCTGGGTTCAATCCCCAGTGCTACACCTCCCACAAAGAATAATACAGAAGATCAACAAAATAAAAGCTGGTTATTTGAAAAGATAAAATAGAAAAACCTTTAACTAGACTAAGAAGAAGAGAGAAAACACTCAAAAATAAACCAAACATGAAAAGGCTGACATTATATCTAATATCACAGAAATATAAATTATTATTAGAGATTATTATGAACAACAATATGCTAACAGACGAAATGGACAGACTCTTAGAGATACAATTTTCCAAGAATGTATCATGAAGAAAGAGAAAACATGGACACACCAATAACAAGTACTGAGAATAAATCAGTACTAAAAAGCCTCCCTTCAAATAAAAGTCCAGGACCAGATGACTTCACTTTTGAATTTTATCAAATATGTAAAGAAGATGTTGAAAGGAAAGTGAGCAATCAGGAGACAGGCGAGCAAGAAATGAAAGATGGACACCAGATAGAGATACATGAGAGTTTATCTGTCAGAGCTGACAAATAAAGGCAAATATCTCCAGAGACCAAGAGAAGCAAAACAGGCTTGGAGTTCGGGACTTTTATGAGGCAGGCTCAGGGATTAGAGCCAGGTAGGTCCAAATGCAGTGGTTAAGAGTGGGTTGGTATGAGGGAGTGGTGAGCCTTTCTCAGAAAGACCCTTGGGTGGGACAGCAAAAATTTTTCTTAAAATGGCAGCTCTCAAGATGACCATACAGATGCTAAGCAAGAACCTTTCAAATGTAATGCCAATTTACTTTAGGTTATTTCAAAAAATAAAAGTAGAACAAATTCTTCCAAACATGTTCTATGAGACCAGCATTACCCTAACATCAAAACCAGCTAAGGACACAACAACAAAAAAGAAAATTACAGACCAATATCCTTGATTAACATAGATGCAAAAATCCTCAATAAACACTAGCAAACTGAATTCAACAGCACATTAAAAGGATTATTATTCACCATGATCTAGAGGATTCATCCCAAGGATGCAAAGTTGTTTCAATATATGCAAAGTTGTTTCAATATATGCAAATCAGTAAACAGATATACTGCACTGACAAAATTAAGGAAAATAAATATACAATCCTCTCAATAGATTCAGAAAAGGCATCTGATAAAATTCAACATCCCTTCACAATAAGAGCACTGAACAAACTAGGTATAGAAACATATAATAAAGGTCATTTATAATAAGGCAACAACATTATACTAATTGTGGAAAAACTGAAAGCTTTCTCTTTTCTCTGGAGCAAGACAAGGATGCCCACTTTCAAAACTTGTACTCAACACAATACTGTAAGTCCTAGCCACAGTAATCAGGCCACAGAAAGGAAGAAAGGATATTCAAATTGGAAAAGAAGTTGTCAAATTGTCAGTGTTTGCAGATGACAATCATATATATGGAAAATCCAAAAGTCCACCAAAATCTATTAGAACTAACCCTAAACCCTAACTCCAACCCTAATCCTACAGCAAAGTTGTAGGATACAAAATCAACACATGAAAGTCAATAGCATTGCTATAAGCTAATAGTAAATCATTTGAAATAGAAATCAAGAAAACAATCTTATTTACTACAGCCACACACACAAAATAAAATACCTAGGAAGAAATTTAAATTAAGAGATGAAAGATCTCTAAAATGAAAATTATAAAACACTTGATAAGAAAACTGAAGAGAAAAAAGATGTGGAAAGACCTCCTATGTTCATGGATTGGAAGACTCTATATCATTAAAATGTCCACACAACCCAAAGCAATTTACAGATCCAATGCAAGCTTTATCAAAATAGCATTAACATCCTTTGCAAAACTAGAAAAATCCTAAAATTTATATGTAAATCCTTCTCCAAAAATACCAAATAGCCAAAGCCATCTTGAACAAAAAAGAACAGAGCAGGAGGCACTATAGTACCTGACTTCAAAACATACTACAAAGCTGTAATAATCACAACAGCATGGTGTTGGCATAAAGTTAGATGCATACAACAATGGAAAAGAATACAGACCCTAGAAGTAAATCCATGTATCTATAACCAACTGATTTTCAGCAAAGGTGCTAATAACAAGTACTGGGAAAAGGACAGTTTTCTAATAAATGGTGCTGAGAAAATTGGATATTCACATCCAGGAAAATTTCTTACCAGTTATAAAACTCAACTCAAAATAGATTAAAGACATAAATATAAGACCTTAAACCATGAAACGACTAGAAGAAAACACAGAAGAAACACTGCAAAACACTGGAATGAGCAAGCGCCCCAAAAGCACAAGAAATAAAAGCAAAAACTGACAAATGGTATTACAACAAACTAAAAATCTTCTTCACAGCAAAGGAAAAGAGTCAACAGAGTAAAGAGGCAGCCTTCAGAATGGGAGAAAATTTTTGCAAACTATACATAAGACAAGAGGTTGATATGCACAGTATATTAGAAATAATAAGTATTTGAGGAGATGGATATGTTTAATCTGACTTGAGCACCATAAAATCTATACATGTATTAAAAGACTATGTTATTCATTAATATGTGAATTTTTAAATATTTTTTAGTTGTTGATGGACCTTTATTTTATTCATTTATTGTATATGTGGTGCTGAGAACTGAACCCTGTGCCTCACACATGCTACCACTGAGCCATAACCCCAGTCCCAATATGTAAAATTTTTTATATTTCTAAGTATCAAGTTAAAAAATAAATTTTAAAAAAATTAATAGAAAATAACAAACACCAAAAAGGGTATAGATAAATCATAACAATTTATGATGTAAAATGATGATGGTGTAAAACAGAGCCGCCATTCTTCAAAAAGGTGGCAATTCTTCAAAAAGCCAAACACATAATTATAGATCCCAGCAATTCCACTTCTAGGTATATACTCAAAATAATTGAAATTAGGGACTTTAACAGATACTTGTATTTTATGTTCATTGCAGCATTATTCATAATAGGCAAAAGGTGGAAATAACCTAAGTGCTCATCAACAGACGATACCTCAGGAACAATTTGGGTGATGATTCTACTTCTCACAATTCCCACCCAAGGGGAGACCATCAACTTTTTGCTTTGACATAAATACATATACATCTCACACTCACCCTTCTCTTTAGCTGATATTGGAAAATTCCATAGCCATCAACTGATTAAGTGTGTGCTTCACAGGGCACTTGAGACACAGAATATTTCCAAAGAGTCTGGTCCATTTGTATTGTGAAGATCTCCAATACTGAAAGCAGTGCCCACCACAGCTGGTATTATAGGCTAGGGGAGCTCTGCGGATTAAAGAACAAGTTATAAAGAACTTCAAAAATCATCTAAATTGAAGCTGCACAATGCACAAAACCTACTCTGCTTTTGCCCCTCAATATAAAGGTATGGCCAATTGTTCTTCATTTATAACTCTTACATGTATGAAAGATAAGAGTCACACCTGACCATAATAGAAATTAAACTAGGGATAGATGTTAAACCAATAGTATATTCCATGTTGACATTTTCAGTTTAGGCATTCCCCCCAATACATGCAAAGTCAGAGAGAGAAAGATCAACAGAAATACCAGCATTTCTATTCAGATCCTACTATCTACTATTCCCACTGCTAGGCAGTAATTTTAAAGAGAATCATAACAGCATATGAATTTGGGAGGAACAGGAGAGGAGGAAGTGATCCCAAATCCCAAACTATACTGTCATTCTATACCACAAACCCCTGCCCAGAACCTAGCTTTTGTTAATAATAAACAGGAGAGGTTGAGATGATATAGACAATATGGCTTCAACTCTGTAAACTGTGCAAAGAGAACAGTGAAATGAGGGAATTAATTTCTTACAAAATATACACTCCTAAGGGATTTTGGTATCCCATGGTTGTGTCATACATATAATTGTCCTTCAAGAAGCATCAGCACAAACAAGGATCTGCCATCAAGAATAGGTACAAATTACCAATTCCAAAGCATGTCCATAAAACAAAACCAATGATGAGTTAATAGTCACCAAGGTAAGACAGATGAGACTGATTATGAAGCAGTTTCTATAGGTGGACCCCAGACCCTCCTCTTAGGTCCAGGATATCAGGGGGAGGGAACCTCAAAGGAAAGAATAAATCTAGTACCCCTGAATGGGGAGAATGCTGATGAGAACACAGCAGGGTTGGATCCCTTCAGAACCACACTTCCTACATAGTCACCCATGGTTTTTCTGAATGGGGGTGAGAACCATGAATACTCAAGGGGGTTAAAAAGCATCATGGTGTCCTGATAGATATCTTATACCAAAGTCCAAGCACAAGATCTGGGATTCAATGGAATGAAATAATCTGTGTTCCCTTTCTCCTCAGTCTGTCCTCTTCTGCTTCCTTAGTTAGGGCTGCCTGGATAGGGCTTCAGCTTCATTTCTTGGTGCACTGTCAGCCAGAAACTAGACAGGTAGTAGTACGGTCCTGTCCCCTTGCTTCTGGAGTGATTCTACTCCTTGAACATGTTGGCACTAAAGGATCTGCCAGTGAACTTTTTTTTCTTTGTGCACCCTCTACAGATAAACTGACACAGACACCATCTCTTCACCATCTTTTTGTTGTTTGTGCTTTATCCCTCTGACTACATTTCAACTGAAGAACTAGGACAATGTTTTTACCAGTTTAGCATGCAACTTTATTAACAACATGTAAATGAAATCTCAAAAAGATACACTTTTGTCAATGAACAGATTTGTAGCTTATTCAGGATGAATATGATCATTATCAGGTCATGTTGCATAAATACTAAAAATATCTCAATTTATATTTTATAGCACAATAAAAATAAGCAAATGTTCAAGCCTGCAAGATTAGCTGGTATCCTTAAAACTGCAACAATCAACACAGAGAACGTAAGTATTGAATTTATAATTATAATATGCATTGGTTTCATATTCCAAAAGCAAAAAAAAAATATGTTCAAGGCTTTGTGAAAACATATGACTATTCAGAGTTTGAGTATTAATCGTATAACTTTATCTCTCACCTCAGGATCACTGTGCTCTGCTAAGTCTTGGAGTTTCTGACCAAACCCTTTTGCTTCCTGGAATATGGAAATAAGTTCAGATTTAGTGAACTTTTCCTTAGTAAACAGCTTTGCCCTTTTTTTGAATTGGAAATTTATATTCTCAAATATTTCAATGATACAAAGAACATTGGCCTTTGACTCATTCTTGTTAAAGAGCGCAACCAGTGATGATAGTACTTCGGCACTTATCAGTTCTCTTGTATTGGCTTGATTTTTAGACAAGCACAAAAACACTTTTAAAGCATAAAACTTGGTTTTGACACTTCCTTTGTTCAATAATGTGAGGAACTCTAGAATATAACTGGCAATCATGTGATGATTCTCAAATTTCACACTCAATTGCACCAATAATTTCAGTCCAGCCAGTTGCACAGGGGAATTCAAAGGATAACAGATTATGTCCTTACAAATTTGATGTATATATGATTCTTCCATTTTTGGTTCTTCAGAAGACTCAGAGCTTTCATTTACCATATTTAAAGCTTTAGGGTGTTCTTTAACATTGGGATTATTGACCAAGTTTTCAATCATAACAGTAATACCAACATCATGAATTATATCTTGAGTAAATGGGTAAGCAGGACTGATACCCATTACCATAGTAGCTATTTCATGAATGAAAGGATCCTTAGTTAACTTAAGTAGGTCAACAAGTTTATCAAATTCTTTAGGCTCTAAACTAAAGGTACGTGATTTGCAGCGGCAGGCCTTTGGATTAGGCCCATATTTTTCCCTCTGCCTTATCTGTTTTTTGATCTCAGCTAAGGTCTGGAAGTAAGGCCCATTATAAGGTGGAATCTTGGTCAGAGGCCGAATTCCCAGAGGAGTTTCAATCAAGGTTGCAACCAAGGTCCAGTTGCCTTCTGGAGGCAATGTTGGTTCCCCTCCCTCAACTGGGACTAGGACAATATACCTGGCCCTTAACCAGGCTTTTGCTTTTTGTTTTGTAGTAAGTTTGGGGCTGTATGTGGGCTTGGGCTCTTCCTGTATCTTAGGTGGGGGTTTATAAACTTGAGGAGGGGTCTCTTCTTTAGGCCAGAACCAAGATCCTACACTAGGCTCTTCTCCATTCCAGAACCAGGAGCAGACATTTTCTTCATCCTCATCAGTGAACTTGATCCCAATACCAGCTTTGTTCCCAGCCCTGGACTTGTTGCTGGTCTCTTCCTTTATCTCAGGCCTAGACCCAATATTGGCCTTATCAGCCTTGGCAGAAGACTTGATGTTTGCCTCACTGCCTGCACAATCCTTTACCTCAGATTTAGTTACCAAACTAACCCTAAAAACAGGGGTGGCTTTTGACTTGGTTTGAGGCACTATACCAGGTTCTGCCAGGAGTTCTGCCTTAGTCTCAGCTGTGAGACTAGTATTAGTCATATCTTTCGTTTTGCTTGCTTCCCTTGTCACAGCCACAGGCTCAGTGTAGGTCACTGTTTGTGTCCTGGCTATTGCTCCATCACGAGCTTTGGCCTGGGTTACTAATTCTGCTTTTGGTTCTGCCTCAACCACTGCCTTGGGCTGAGTCTTCATTCTAGCATTGTCAGGGCCACTGATTTGAGCTTTCAGGCTATCCTCAGCCTCTTCTCTATCTCTTGCTCTACCCCGTGAGCCAATCATCATCCAAGTTAAAGGCAAAGCTCTTTAAAGACCCCACCGGACCCCTGTCTCAGCCTTGACTGAAGGTCTGTCCCAAGTTGGTGTTTTCATACAAAGTCCAGTAGTCACTCAGTCCCCTTTCCAACTACAGGTTCTGCCAATGATATAAACATGCTGAGGAAGCTCACTCAAGGTAAGGAAGGATGGCTGGGCCTGGGAGCATCCCTGTAGAGGGTGGTGGTCTTCAGCCACTCCAAGGACACCAGATCTGCCATTGAAGTTGGACCTAGGAGTGGAGGAAGGAAATGGGGCTTTAAGTCTCTTCCAGTTTTTCTCCTCACGCTGATTAGAACACAGAGATATGAAAGTATGGAAATCCAGTGATGTGTGGGAAAAGTAGATAAATGTCATTTCACCCTCTCCCTATACCTCCAAGTGCTACCAATATCCTTTCCAGGTAACAAACAAGAGTATGGAGGGCAGGGAACCTGGATGGGAGTGAGATAGGCTAAGGGATGCTTACGCTGCATCTTGACCCCTGCTGGAGACAGATCTCCACTACCCTGTACTACAAATCTACCCAAGCAGCCCCCACACTCATACAATCTCACTCTTCAGGAATAATTTTTCACTTCAATTGCTTGCTTCCAATGGTGATTAACCTACAGCATACCTACAGGCAGACCTAAAAACAAATAGACAAACAGGAGGAGATGGAAACTGACCTCTTGGTAGACAAACCTTGGTCCCTGGCCCTTAGTCTTGTCTTTCTAGATACACTCTGTCTCATGTTTTCTTCCACCATTTCCTGCTTCAGAGCTGTTCCTCCTCCTCCCTATTGCCCACATTTTCCCTTTCCCATGATTGCTCTGGAAGTTGCCTAGCTTAGAACTGGATTACAATATGAAGCATGAGAACAGGACAAGCATTTGCATTCTGTAAATCCAAAGTATACAAAGAATTTCAACTAGGCTGAAAGGAGGAGAGCAGATAGGAGTCATTGATAAACTGATAAAAAAATAGATGGGATTCTCTAGCCTCAGTCATTCCTATCCCTGTAACCTCATACCAACCTTAAAAGATACAGGTCGATTTTCTTCAATATTTCCTAGCTTCATGTTGGGTTAATTTTAAAACCTTCACAAAAACTTTAGTTCTACAGACCTAGGAACATATCTACCCACAGAGATCCACAAACACAGAGACAAATAAATTGAGCACAGGAGACCAAGAACACTGAGTCTTTGGTAGAGACCAGTACTTCAGCACCTAGGGCATATATGCTTTTTGGACACAGGTACCTGTTTGGCAAACATTTTCTGTCTCATTTTTCCCCCACTCCCACATCTCCAAGTTCCTCTGCTCCATTCTCAAAATCTGACAATTTCCATGCAGAGGCAACTCAAACATTCCTGCAAGGTATTAGTGGTGTTAGTAGGAATGAAATACCAAAACAAGCCACAGAAACTTGGAAAATATAATTTTCACATTTCTTATATAAGTTCTTACATTTCCTTCCTCTCCCCCAAAGCCTATCATTTTCTGCAATATAATGGTTGTGGGGCAGGACATATCTTGAAAGCTGGCAGATAGGAGAGCTGGAGGTATGCTAGATCCCTACCTGTTTTAGTCTTGGTCTTCTAGCACCCTCAAGCAATGCCCACTCTAAAGAAGCCAGGCCAATTTTCTTCTTCTCCCCTATCCTTGAGGTCTGCTGCCCCCTGCAGATATTTACACAAATGTGGAGTACTGCAAACTTAACAACAGATCTACACAGAAAAATTCATAATACACACCCAAAAAACTAATGAAGAGAGTGTATTAATGATCAGTCAAGCAAACAGGATATGAACCCCTCTTCAACACAACACTTTTATTATCACACATTTATAAGTTCTCTCCCTCTCTGAGGAGTCCTTGGAAAACTCTCCCCACCAATAGTAGCAGCCCCTTTCTCTTATATACTTGTTTCCCCTGCTAGAAGCCGCGACTACACCACTTTCCCTTCCCAAATATATTCGAAATAAGGGTGAGTTTAGAAACTTAGCAAAAAAACTGACCATCTTATTTTACTGTAGTCCCTCTAAGCCTCTCACCGCCCTCCTCCCAAGGCCAGGTCACGTATTCCGCACTCATCTCCGATACCCATGTTCACTCCCCCAAGCGATGCTAGCCTTATCACTGACCTGCTCGGCTTGGATCAGAGGCAATTTTCTTATTTCGTTGTTTCAAGCGGTGCCGTGCCACATAGTAGGAGGGACAGACAGTCAGACAGGCAAATACCCGAAACAATGGCGGCGACTGTGTTTGGGGGTTGACTCGGCACCTGGGACTTACGACGAGATACTTGCTTCATCAGATAAAGGGCGGTGACTGGTAAACTATTATAACTTTCTGGTATTCTCTTCTTTTTCCTGTTCCCAGGGCTCCTCAGGAACCCGGAGGTAGCGACTAATTAGCTTTCACCTTTTCCTCCGCAGAATAGGTTCTGCCACGTCCCCATTACTGAAATCGGCAAAGGGAGGAGCTAGGGTGTAGTTTAAGGGGATCCGGCTTAGAGAAGCGGAGTGATACCAAGCGTTTCCTAGCGATGCTTTCCGTGTGTCAACCCACTGTCGCCCCGCCCACTCTATTTCTAGCGCATACTGGAATTCCCAAAGACCGGATTGGGACCTAGAGGAAATAGCGCTGGAATGGAGAGAAACAGACCAATGACAAAGTGTCTTGGTATTAAGTTCCCTCTTTTTAAGGACACACACACACACACACACACACACACACACACACACACACACACACTCACTCACACTGTCCAAACTGAAATGCATATGGGTTCCGGGTTGTGGTGTCAGGAAATCAGCTGTGGCCTGCTGAGGCGGACGGATATCAAATGATTTTAGTGTTTACAAACTCACCTCTCCAAAACCCCGTCCAAATGGGCGGGTCAGAGGAGGGACTATAGATATTTTTATAAAAGCGGGCGGGATGGGGCGGAGTAAAAGGCTCCAAACTGAGATGAAAGTATCAATTCTTATTTGTTCCACATTTTGTGTTCGCTCTATAGGAAAAGCCCTCTTGGCCTCTCCTTCAAGCGCTTAATTTTCTACACGAAATGTGTGGGATCGTAGTGGGGTGTCTGGAAAAGCTTCTCTCTCCTGACATCACAGATCAATATCAATTCCTCCTCTTGGTTTTTTCCCATACCTCTTGCCTGAGTCTTTAGCCTTTATTGTCCAACATATTTCTTGTATTGAAATAGTCTTAGATAACGTGGGATAAACATATAGGGAAACCAGAGGCAATCAGAGAAAACATAAATATCAAAATATACTTCTATGTGAGTGTGTCCTATTCCCTTGATAGTCTCCTCACCTAAATATGTAGGGGCCTGAACTTAGGCATGGAAGATTGTTAGATATATTAGAGTGCCTCAAGAAATCAGACACATACTCCTAAGTTACTCCTCAAGGCAAATTTTACCTCTGCAGAAGGGTGTACTACCAAAAAAGTCTGGCAAGCAAGCACACTGAACCAGAAGTCTGCCCAAGCTTTTAATCCCTAAGGCAGCACTGCCCCTTGCTCTGCTAGGAGTAGTTGGGGGTAACAATCTATGCAATTGACTAATTTAAAATTGGGGAGGGCAGGGGGAAGGGCTCTGATTATGATTGGATCTCTTACTACACTATAGACATTATGATTGGAAAACTGAGGACAGAGAGAGATATATTGGGGGGCTCAAAACGGGTACATTTTAACCACATGGTTTAGATTACAGCAAACATATTTTGTTACATATTAGGAAACTAAGACTACAGGTTTAACTTTGCTAGAAAAGAGAATATTAATCTTACCAAACACATTAATACTAAAGTATACTTCTGTGTAGGTGTGTCCCATTCCCATGATATTCTCACCAAAATATGTGGGGGCCTGAACTTGGGAATGGGGAAAACAACTACATTCTTATGGAAGAGGATTAATACCATAATATTTTTGTAACCTTGAACCAACTCCTTCCTGACTTTGTGGGACCTTTCTAGGCCTGACACACCATATTTCTTGCCCCAGAGTCTATTGGGATGAGGGTATCAAGGCAGGAGACAGGGAGAGGAAAGGCAATTTCAAGCCAGACAGCCCCACTGGCTCTAGAGTGACTCCCTCATGTGTTTCTTCCACTGCTTCCTAGAGATGTGAAAGGGAAGAAGGTACTTCTGTTTTTGAGGGAACTGGAGAGAGGTTTCTTGCCCACTGTTCTGTCAGAAGAAGAACACTACCCATGTATTTCTCAAGGCAGATTTCAGCTGTTCCTATCTCTTCCTTTTTCTCTCAGCCCTGCATCCTGCCTAATGAATGCATATGCTCCTTTCCGTGAATGTATAAAAGTTTGGACTCTCCCGAGTGATGTGGAGTTTGAACTAGACTAAGTTCAATGAATGAAGGGCCTCTTCGTCAGTCTGTTTCACTGCTGTATCCTCAGCACATAGTAGACAAAGTGGTCAATGGTTGAAAGATGTGAAACATCACTGAGTCATGAGAATTCCACAGTACCTTCTGTTGCTTGCAGATCAATACTATTCTATAGGTATGTCTTTGTTTTTGATGTCTGTATCCCCAGGATTTAGCCCAGAATCTGCCACACAGGAAATGCTCTCTTTGTGGCTTTTCAGTGGAGGAAGGGAGCAAAAATTTTTCAACTGTTTTGGAAAGAAGCTTGGGGTATCTTAATATCTTAGGTTGTAATGAATCTTTGGGGAGTATGTGTAATTTAGATTCAAGAATAGTGGTAAATAATTTCTCATTTGCCATGATGCCTTGCTAAACTCCTTAATATATAGCAAATCCCAATAATTTCATAAATAAAAAACAATGACCAACAATCCAATGGAAAAGATAGAAAAATATATGAACAGACTGTTCACAAAAGATACACCAAAGTTTTAAAAATATGTGATAAAAATTTAATTGTATTGATAATAACAAATACAAATCATAATTATCATCATATATTATTTCTCATCTACCAGATTGGCAAAGAACAAAATGTTTGATAACAAACTGTATTGGATAAGGGGTTGGAAAATGCACTCTCACACATTATTAGATGGAACATAAAAACAGTATACCCTCTATGAAGATTATTTATCAAGATACAAATACA